GAAACCAAACTGCATATACTCTATGCAATCTATTGAGCAACACTACTATAGTGCAAACGGTTTCCTTTTCAAAACACGAAGCCGTTTCTGGCGACTGCCGGAGTAAACAGCAAATTTTCAGCTGCTTTAACTTCATCTCTTTTTTAGAAGAAGACGTTTAAGTCGTTTTTAAGATGGGATTTGACATGAGACATGATTCGGAAAGTGATAAAATTGTATCGCCCCACTGAATTGTTGTTGTGAGTCCCCTGGAGTATACATGGAGGCAACAAGTCGAAAATCTCAAGAACACACTCTGGAAAATTGAATCAGTTCTTAGTCTTGCGTGACTTTTTTTAACGAAAGTACCTGACGACTAACGAGGGAGAATTGTTTTTTCTTTTCTTTTTCACCAGGAAGCACAGCAGGCTGAAAATTTAGTCCCACACTTTTGATCACTTCCGACAAAATAAAGAACCTTGACGTTTGACGATTCTCTGTTTCTCGATAGTTTTAACAGGGGAACCGCACCAACGATTAAGCATGGTGCGCAAAAGCAGAAGTGCTTAAAAATCTGCAAGTATTTTCGCTGTCACTAGCGGCAGATGACAACAAATCCATATTCACAGTATTTTCAGTAAACACAGTGCTCGAGTTAGAAAGATAATAGCCACAGGAATAGTTTCGAACCTCAGCTCTGCGAACAAATAACGTTACAGATTTTCACGCGAACGACTCGCAGCCGGTTGTCTGTTTGGTGTCCGTAAATTCGTACACGTGACTTTTTTTTAAACCACTTTTTCGCGAGCAGATGAAATATCCAGCTCAATGTCAAAGAGAAAACCTGGGAATTATTTGTCAGATCGACTAATGCTTTGGTGAAAATGCAAAGAATTGGAAAATAATGGCGATTTTGTCGTCCATTGGCCGTGTCTACAAATGTCTCTGTGCAGAAGAAAGGTTTCTGTGAATGACAAAAAAAAAGATTATCTCATTTCTCTAGTGAAAGAATAAAATTACAGACGATTGCTTGGACTATCAATAAAAATCCCCGAAAACTACACTGGAATCAAGAATAGACAGTTTC